ACACGCTCTGAGACTTCTGGGGCACCCCACATGTAACACATTCTCATCTTCACTCCCTTTTATACAGTACCTTTCCTCTGAAGCACTAAAAGGTCCATAACCATGAAGCATGCAACCATTTTCATCACCAAAACCAAAAAGGAAGGAAAGGAAATTCTTGTATATGTTATGGGCTCCAGTATGGAATTAGCTAATGGTAACGTTAGCTGACATCTCTAAAAACCTGACTAACATGACTGAGAACTCTGCCATTCTTAAACAGAGTATAGGGCTAGCTAAAGTCAACTTCTGCTACCACTGGCTTAAAACCAAAACAGTTCTACACATAATAGAAAATGGAACAGTTGAGAATAAAGACAGAAGCAAAAAGGTAGAAGTGGGTATGGTATGATGTGCTTTCAACTAAGATTAATCATGTGCAAAAAAAAAAATCAGTTCAATACATCTATTAAGTGTCTCTCTGTACAACGTACTGTGCTAAGCACTAGGGATTATAAAAGAATTAAATTTCAAAGAATTTCAGAGTTATAGAGGACCTCCATGACCACCTAATCTAATCCACACCCCAACCTCAACCCCTACTGTAACATGTCCAAGTGACAATATTACCAGCAGGCTGGCAACCTAGAGACAAGATAAAGAAAAATACAAAATGGTCCTTCATCCTGTGAGGCTGCCTTCTTCTTGTGCAGTAACATTTAGCTTGGCTACTCAATGTGAAATCCTTGTCCAATGACAAAGGAATTAGCATACTACTGTGGAAACTGAAACATATCAAAAGGGACAACATAAATGAAACCAGAAGATATAAGCAGGTTGCACCTAAATGGAAGAAAAGGTCATAGGTTCTCAGATACAAATAAAAGTTGACAGGGGTTCATGTTATGAAGTACACAAAAGCAACAACAAACATTTCACACAACTCATGATTACAGTACTCATAATAAGTGTAAGCAAAAAGGCCACCATGAAGATAGTCATAGCTTTTATACTAATCTCTGTTACAGAGGATGAAGAAGTAGAAAAATTATCAAAGAACCCAGTAAGACGCTCCAAATTATTACCCAACGTACATTTTGATACTCAGTGACTTCAGTGCAAAGGAAGGCACAGGGGACTATCAGAGAAAAATACGGGTCAGGTTTAAGCAATGAAAGAAAAAGGCTTGTAGACAACTTAGGAAATTCAAATTTGTATATCATGAACACTTTTTTTTTTTTTTTAAAGGCAACTGAGGTTAAGTGACTTGCCCAGGGTCACACAGCTAGTAAGTGTCAAGTGTTTGGTCTGAGGCCGGATTTGAACTCAGGTCCTCCTGACTTCAGGGCTGGTGCTCTATCCACTGCACCACCTAGCTGCTCCCTTCAAGAATATTTCTTGAAGAAAGTCAGGAGGCACGAGACATTCTGAACAATGAATAAAATCCCTCCAAAAGCAAACTGACAACATCTTGACAGAAAACTACTGGTTACCAACATGAGTTCTTTCAAAATCAGCTGTATGTGTAGTCAAGACCACCGATTTGTGAGAGCACAGACATCAAAATCAAGATCAAAGACTAAGAAAAAAACTGCCCAATTAAAATAGTCATAATTTTGAATAAAGGTAAGAACTTTAGTTTAGTTTAGTTTTACATTGCAAAATGGGAAATGGATAAAGGAGCTGATTAGACCATAAACATTTCTTAACAAAGCTTAACCAGTAAAGAGTAAATAAAAGTAAAGAAACTGCCACAGTGAGAACAAGAGAAACCTAGAAATTGCCTCAGGGCCAGCAAACACTTGATTTTTGCCACATATCCCAATGTGGCATTTAGGCGGCATAGTGGCTACAGCGGTGGGCCTGGAGTCAGGAAGACCCAAGTTCAAATCTGACCTCAGACATTTACTAGCTGTGTGACCCTGTGCAAGTCACTTTACCCTGTTTGCCTCAGTTTCCTCATCTGTAAAATGAGTTGGAGAAGGAAATGACAAGCCACTCCAGTATCTTTGCCAAGAAAACCTCAAAAAGGGTCACAAAGAGTGGAAGGCAACTGAAACCACTGAAAAACAACTGATATGGTAGCAGAGGCATCATTGGCTTAAAATATAAACATTCAAATTCCTATGTAGGACGCTAGGAAAAGATTTTCAACAGTATTGCCTTATAAAAGAATCACAAGTGGATGACAGAAATACTGGCAGATCGTCCTAAGAGCATTCAAAGATCAAATGTAGTGGACAACAGATGAAAATGGGAAAAGATCTGTCCAGCTAACTATAGCTAACTAGTCGCTCCATCAATGACACTGGCCCCATCATAACTGGATTCCAACATCATGGACTCTAACATGCTACAATGTTCTGACTGGAACCATGATTTCAATGGTGTAGCAAACCTCGAGGTTTGCCTGAGGCACTGAGAAATGAAATGACTTTTCCAGGGCCTCACAGCCATTGTATTTCATAATTCACATTGTATGCCAGTTCTTAATTTTGAGCACAGCACTTTATTTGCTATGCCACATGCTTCTCAAGGCGCTACAACAAGAAGTATAAGTGGCACTAAAGGAAAGAGAGAGTACTAATATCTGAACTGTACCTAATATACACAGAAAAAAAATCTGTGCTACAAACTAGCAGTTTGGAGGGTGTTGAAAAATTGATTGAAAGAGGAGGAAGAGACTGAGTGATCTGAAGATATCACAGATATTATTACTACCCAAATGTCTACTGAGCTATGAGAGCTCAGAATAATTTACCCTTGTATAGATGACATTATTGAAGAAAATAGAAGGAAACAGGAAGAATTTCACATAAAATATTCTACCTACCACAAACCATATCTTTGCAGTCACACAACTGACTGAAAGATACGGAGCTGGCCTGCCCAACCTGCAGCCCACCGAAGGATTTCAGGTGTCTACAGCTTATGCAGGCCTGATAACAGAGAATACAAGATCTACCCTAATCGTTTAACTTTTTTTTTTTTTTTAAAACATTTGATTCAGTAGATCAAAATGCAGTCTTAAACATTCTTCACTAACAAAGTGTCTCATGTATATATATTAAGAGAATTAAAGTTTACTTGTTGAATCCAACAGACAGAACTTCGATGATCCTCTGGTTATTAATATAAAGTGAAGTATAAAATGATTAGAAATATGCTCAAAGGTATCTGCTGCTGTCAGGGAGGATGTTGAGCATGAAGTCCAAATGGCAAAGGCATTTCCTACCGATAGTGAGGTAATTTGTTTGCAGGTAATATTGTGCTGGTTGTAACAAGTCCCAGAATATTTCAGAGCCTCCCAAATAAGATTCATAATCACTCAAAACAAAAAATTTGTCCTAGCTGTAGAGGAAAAATTAAGATTCCTGTTGTCCTGTGATATACAACGGTATAGTCAATCTTTAATGCTGGTCCATCATTCATATATCTTGGACAAACGTCATGGATGGATAATTAAGTGGGCCCAGACATGGAGAGGAAAAGAGAGAGTGGGCTGGATTCCAACTGGGAAACTGAACAATGACCCCAAGATCCTCCTTTAAACGCCAATGTTTCTGTGGAAATGCTATAGGTTTGCCAATAATAGGCTAGCACAAAACAAAATTGTGGGTCACCCAAAGGGCAATGGGGAGAGTAATTAGATCGCAGCATATTGCCAACAATGAATTACGTGCAAAAAGTGTCATAAAAGATCTCAAAAGACACAAATCTCAAGAAAAGGAGACAGGCTGGCCATGTGATGAGAGTAAGGGATAATCAATCAGCTGCTTATATGTGTCACTGGTATCTGAATAACATGAAAGGACTTAAAGGATGATCTCCAGCACATTTCATGGATCCACGAAAAAGATATGGACAAGAGCTATACAAAATGAAAAGGCATGGATAGGTTATAATCCATACCTTTGAAGGCAGATCCACACTGATAAAATCACATACTATTTGTATGACTAGTCTCAGTTTCCTCATCTGTAAAACGAGCTGGAGAAGGAAATAGCAAAACAGTATCTTTGCCAAGAAAACTCCCAGTGGGGTCACTTAGAGTTAGACATGATTAAAATGACTGAACAACGATGACACCAAAAAGATGTTGATATATCTACCATATCTTGGGAGCCCAAGGCCAAACAAAGGGAAAGATGTATAAGAAAATTAGCTTGTTTATAGAGGCAATGGTAATCGAAATTCAATTTGTGATCCTCTTGTTCCCCCACACACATAAAAATGAAGGAGACAAGAAAACACAGGACACATGTCTTAGCATGGGAATAGATCGCAGGAGGGCTTCAGGACCCCAGGGAGGCAATAGACAAATAGCCAGAAATTAGCATACTGGGAAAAATTTTAAGTGTATAAGGGAAGAAACATCTTTCACTATTTCTTAAAGGCAAGTACTTGTTTTGTGAATCACAAATATACTGCCAAACTTACAAATGACTTATACAAACCTGTCAAAACACTTCAAATACAATTGTTTCTTTTTATGATGTCCTTTGTATACAGATAAGCTTATCTGAAGTACTCAAATGCTTTAGGGATTGTTCTCCTCCCACCCTTCACCTCCTCTAGTGGACAGCATCACACAAAGCAAGACAATCAAGACTCAAGTGCAGTACCTAGTAAGTGACGACTATGTGTTCTATACCACTCACATAGGAAGAGAGAGCTTGGATGAGAAAACAGAAATCGAAACACCTAAGTACAGTCACTTCAAAATAACTAATAGAATAGTACAGATCCCTGGTAAAAACTAATGAAGAACAATGCACTCACAGTTACTGAAAACAACAACAACGGTGAGATGATTAGATAAAGTGTGAGTTGGTATGTACCAGGAAATACCTCGTCAAGAGCAATGGAACAAATAAAAGATCACTCAAAAATGGGAGAAGAGAAGAAAATTTTCGCCATCATTATATGTCATTATTTATCATATATCCTTTTTTATACTATTTTTACTGGAGAAGCAAGAGAAATGGTTTTTAAAAAAATCAACAAAACATCCCAAATACCTGAGGTCTCATTCGTGGATTCCATCGGACATAATAGTTTACCCACAATTCCAAATGATTCAGACTAGCAACAGGATACAAAACGTGGTTTTCATAATTCACATAGAAGGGATTCGAAAACTCATCCAGTTGGCTGTTGATATAAGACCATAAAGATATAGTTTTTGTATTCACACCCTAGAAGGATAAATTAAAAAAAATAAATTTCTCTTCAACATTTTCCTGATATGCACAAGAATTATTACTAGTTTTACTGAATAAGATTAGAACAATGAAACAAATGAACACCTCTAATAATCATATAACAATTCAATAGCATGCGAACAAGGACATGCAAAGATGAAAAAAGACTATCCCTTGCCTTCAAGGAACTTCCATTCTAATGGAGGGGCAGGGAGAGAGGAGGAATCCAAGCCATAAACAGTAAGGAAGTAATTTAAGGAGGGAGAGGGTGAAATAAAGAAACCACAAAGGAGGTAATACCAGAGTTGAGCCTTAAGGCTAATGATTTAAGAGGTGGAGGTGAGAAAAGAATGCATATTTCCAGTAAGGTCAGATTGTGTAAGGGCACAGAGATAGAATATCAAATATAGCGAACAGCCAGTATGCCCATTTGACTGGATTGTAGAGCACACATAGGGGAATTATATCAAGTAATAGGTATGAAGCATCTAAATGCAGATGGGAGCCAGGTTTTCGAGAGCTCAAAGACCTCCAATGGTGGGGAGCCCACTACCTCCCAAGGTAGTCCACTTTACTTTTGATGAAATCACATTAGTAGGAATTTTTTTCCTGACAGCAAATCTCAGTCTTCCTTTTTGCAATTTCCACCTGCTGTTCTTGGTTCTGTCCTCTGGAACCAAATGGAACAACTTGAGTCCTTTTCCACATGACATTCTTTCAGATACTTGATTGGAAGTATCCCGGTCCCTCTGAGTCTTTTCTGCTCCAGGCTAAACATTCCCACAGTTTCCCAACCAATTCTGATGTGTCTCAAGGGCATTCACCATCCTGGATGTTCTCCTGTGAACACTCTCCATCTAATCAATATCCTTTCTCAACGGTGTTGCTCAAAACCAAGTATGACACTCAGAGGCAAAGTCGAGAGAGAGCCTATCGCCTCCTTAGGCCAGGAAGCTCTTCTGGGAGCCCAAGATCACATTAACTTTGATGGCTACCACAACACAACATTGACTCATATTGACGCTGCAGTCCACTAAAACTCTCAGTACTTTTAATAGCTATTACTAACCATGTCACTCCCATATTGTATTTATAAAGCTGATTTTTTTGAACCTGTGACTGGCTATGGGGAGGAATAAGGACAAGGAAAAGGAGGCTGACTATGAAATGGTAAGTCTGAGTGACTGGAAAGATAGAGGTATCTGTCCTCAACTGAAACAGGGAAGATAGGTAGAGGAGTGGTTTTTGGGGGGAAGATAATAAATTCCATTTTGTTCGTGTTGAATTTGAGAAACATCTGCAGACCTATGTCTTAGGAATGTTAATTTGGTGGTTGTGTGGAGGATGGATTGGAAAAGAGATATTTTAAGCAGGGAGAACAACAAGGAGGTAATTCTAATAGCCTCAGAGAGAGGCGATTCGGGCCTGTAATGGGGCCGTAGTCAATGGAAAGGAGAAAAGGGAACAGATGAAAGAGATGTTGTGGAGGTTGGATTGATAAGATTTGGCAAGTGACTGGAAGGTTAAGGGAGAGGGAAGAGTACTTAACATTTTGCAAAATACCCATCTACACATGGCTCAGATCTAGGGATGAAATCAAAGTACAAGAGACCTAGTCCTGATCTTACAGAAGCTTAGAGGCAGTTAGGCATCAATGTAAGAACATGGGATTTAGAGCTGGAAGGGATTTAGAGAAGGTTGGAAACTTGAACGTCATCCTTGACTCTTCCCTCGGCTTCACCTACTGCAGTCCATCAGTTGCCAAGTCCCATCTTTTCTACCTCCATGATGTCTGACATTCATTCTCTTCTCTCTACATTGCCACTATCCTAAATCAAGTCTTCATTATCACTTGCCGAGCCTTTGTGGACAGCATGCTGGGCCAGGAGTCAGAAAGACTAACCTGGCCTCATATACTAACTAGCTGTGTGACCCTGGGCAAGTCACTTTACTCGGTTTGCCTCAGTTTCCTCACCTGCAAAATGAGCTGGAGAAGAAAATGGTAAACTACTCCAGTATCTCCGCTAAGAAAACTCCAAAGGGGGGGGGGGGGTCATGAAGAGTCGGACACAACTGAAACGGCTAAACAACAACAGATCTGTTTCCTGTCTCCCTTCTATAATCCATCTTCCACTCAGTTGTCAAAATAATCTTCCTAAGGCATAGGTACAACCACATCACTCTCCTGCTCAACAACGTTCAGGGATTCCCTACTGCTGCTAGCATAAAAGCTTCAGAATACTGTTTCAAACCTCCCACAATCTGGATCTCGCCTAATTTCCCAGCTTTAACATAAACCTCCTACACTTACTTCATGTTTCAGCCAAAAGAACTAACCCCTGAACTCAGCAGGCTAGGCCCTTTGCCTGGAATACATTCCCCTCCTCACTTCCACCTTTCAGATTCCTTATCTTCTTTCAGGGCTTAATTCAATACCAACTCCTTCGGTTAGCCTTCCTCGATTCTTTTCTCTCCTCACATATTCCTGGTCTGTTCTCTCTTGTCCTGATCACTTCCAAAATTGCATTATACTTGGGTACAGAAGTAGGTAGCACAGTGAGCTGACAAACCAGGGTACTTGCTATCAGGAAACCAGAGATTTTTGAAGCCTGTCTTTGATATTTACTAAACCGTGTGACCCTAGACAAGTTATTTGACCGCTCTGGGCCTCAGTTTCCATGTCTATAAAACCAAAGTGCTGAACTCCATGACCTCTAAGGCCCTTTCCAGATTCAAAGCCATGATTTTTAATTTGGTGCCCAGTACACCATAAGCATTTAACAAATGTTAAACACTCGAAGGGGCATTAGAGATCATTGGGTACATTTGATAGATGAGGAAGTAAATGCTATAGAGGTCAAGTAACTTGTGCATGATCACACATGTCTAAGGAGGAGGGCAGGGATTTGAACTCAGGTCCTTTGACCCTAGACCCACGAGTTTAGTGTTCTATTCAATAAACAAATATTTTTACAGCCAAAAAATAACACAAGAGTTAGGATTGTGAATTTTTTAGCATCTTTGCTCTCATGTTAAAGCTAAATGGCAGAATGAAGGGAACATTCCATTATGGGAAGGCAGAGTTTACATAATCAGGAAAGTAAAGGCATTTGTGGAGAAGGGGACATCCTTATCCAAGGGCTGCAAAAACTTTCCCTACTAAGGTCAAATGTAATTTAATCCAACAAATTTTTAAGTAATTCATACTGTGTGCAAGGCACTGTATTATATGCTATACAATAAATGATCCCTATATTACTACATTATGTTATTTGGAAAGAATATAAACATTTGCACTGAATTGAAAACACCACAACTGGTTAACATGGCCTCACTAACATTTTATTTCTTTTAAAAAACAAAACAAACTCGCAGAAAATAACATGTAAACTTGGTGTGCTTTTTTTTTTTAATTATGCACAAGACAAGTTACTATTAAAACACAGATTAAGGAAAAAAACCAAAATATTATTCAAAAGTAAAAATAGAAAGTCAAATAAACAATTTCAATGAATTTATTTTGGGCCAACCAACTTGTCATTTAAGAGACACATACACAAAAGCATTTTATTCTGAACTTTTCATTTTTTTGGCATTTAATTAGAAATTATATTTAATAAAAAAACCCCAGCAAACACAAAACCATTAATTTCATGTTTTAGAATTTTAGTTCCTCTGGCTTTATTTTTAGATTTCTAATTCCTTTTGCACAGTGTGAGCATCTCTTTCTAGTTCAGTGATGTCAGAAATTACACTTTGAAGGAGCTTTACATTGTTCGTCAGTTTACAAAACCAGTTTAGTAACCATGAAAAGTAATAAGCAAATATTCAGCTCCACCTAGTGGAACCTAAGAGTATTTGATGATGATGATTTTTTTTTTTTTAAGAGAACTTAACAGAGTGGCCAAAATTACCCACTATAACTGTTACAACTCTACTCAGAGCAGAATTCAGTGCACGATGAGCCCATCTTGGATCTCACATAAAGGGGTTTAGTTCTGAAAATACCCAAGAATTGTTACTGGCAACTTGACCTGTGGCTGTTCTGCAGTATTAGACAAAGCTTCAGATTTGTCCAAAGGAAAAGCTGAAAACAGGCCACTAGGAGTATCAAAGACAATACAGCTAGTTATCATTAATAAAAGGAAAATGTCTATGTCAGGGGTGAGGAACCTGCAGCCTTGAGGCCACATGTGGCCCTCTAGGTCCTCAAGCGTGGCCCTTTGACTGAATCCAAACTTCACAGAAGAAATCCCCTTAATAAAAGGATTTGTTCTGTGAAGTTCGGATTCAAACACCTAGAGCAGAGGTGTCAAACTGACAAAGAAGGCCCAAACCGTATTAAAATGTAATTGGGAACGTATATGTAGAGCCTGTATCAGATTGTATACTGTCTTGGGGGGGGGCAGAAAATTTAAAACTCTAAATCTTATGGCAGTGAATGTTGAAAACTAAAAATAAATTAAAAAAAAAAGTAATTGGGGAATGTTTAACAAAAGAAAGAAAAACACAAAAAAGTATAACAGAAGGAATGTTAATTTGTGTTTTTTAAAGTCAATTTGTAGCCATAGGGATCCATTTTTATTTGAGTTTGACACCACTGGTCTAAAGAATTGCAAGCTATTAACAACCATGTGAAATATTGCTCCAAATCACTAATAATGAGAAATGTACATCAAAACAACTCCAAAGTTTCTCTTCACACACTGAGCAAATTTGATACATATGATAAAGATGGGAAAAGTCAATGTTGGAAGGTTTGTACAAAGACAAACATGCTCACACACTGTTGGTGGAAATGTGAATTGGTCCAACTAATCTAGAAAGCAATCTGGAATTATGCTAAGAAAGTGAGTAAAATATATCCTTTGACCCAGAGATGCCACTGTTAGGCATATATCACCAACTAAGTCAAGGATAGAAAGAACTGCCCCATATTATACCAAAATAATTATAGCAACATTCATTGTAACAGCAAAACACTGGGGGGATTG